CATCAGTTATGTTTTGTTTTACTCCAAACTAGTTCTTAAGCTTGTCTTCTGGAAGCACCGCCTGCAGTTTAACCTGAAGACTCTCTGAATTTCTGTCACGTGACCGTTAATCACAGCTGAGTCCGTCGTGGCGTTTCGTAAAGAAATGTAGAATTTTTAGTTTTTCACAGAATCTGTTGCAAATGATTTATTTTTTTAAAACTGATTTTTAAGCTCCGATCTGGATCATATTCTCAACTGGACACATGATGCGTTCAGGACCACCCGGGTGTTAAAAACCCAACGATGTATTTTGTTTCTACAGCTTCCTGCTCAGATTAGTCGTGTAGTTTTGTTGAATTTAAACCCTGCTGGTGTAGTTTTTGATCTAGACGGTTGAAGTTGAATCTGAATCATTGTTATCGACCGAACGAAGCGATAAACCAACGGATTGGTTCAGAGCTTTGACTTGACCACCAGCAGCTGGATGAACGTCTGAGGATGAGCTGATCATCTAAAGCGAGTCTTTCTGTGGGTTTAACGGCACTGAAACCCACTTTGCATTCCTCCAAACATCAGACTCACATCGGCGGTACGACTTCTGGGCGTCTGAGTGAATTCACAGGTTTGCGTCTGGAAAAATCCCAGATTAGCACCGAAAACGTTGGCTTCCTGAAGCTCGTTAACTGTTAAAGGCGTTATTAAAATCCCCACCGTGTTGATTTAGGAGCTGCTGATCTGGAAACGCGTTTAACTCCTGTTCAGCGACTTATTTCCACTTCATTGTATAGTTAAGAAACAAAAGCCCAGTTTGATGTCGGTGTGTACAGACTGTGGTGGAGACGAGGCCGCTCAGCGTCTCCTTAATCACCGCTGATTGTTATCTCCGTCCTGCTGCCTCTCTGCAGCCATTAATCAGTTTAAAGTGCAGCAGGTGACAGGCGATCAGCTGTTCGGCCCATTACGGCGTCCGACTGCTGGTTTCCTCCGGTACTGGACAGACTGTGAGCTCAGCAGAGCGGCCTGCAGCGGCTCATTACATAACTTTTCTTTTCTTTGTGGCCTGAGCTCCAGTTCGTTTCTTCTCTGGCTTCAGCGTCGTCCTGTTGAGCTGCTGTGGATCTGATCGGCGTCTCTTTGTGTCCCGTTGAGGCTAAAAACACAGGAAGTAGTTTTGTTCAGTCCTGTTTGAAGTCAGGGTCGAGAGCAGCGTTGGGTTGGTTTGATGTTTAACAGACTTTTCTATCAGCTGCTGTACTAATTAGTTAATTAGACGTCTTTTCATCTGAGAGGTCCGAGTTTAAACAAACCCTTACCTGTGCAGGTGTGTCGTCGTGAAGTCGACGGCCAGACGTGCTTTAATGTGTCATAAATATTGTTCTACGTGTAGAAGAACCACTGTTCTCATGTTTAATGTGTCATTTTACAGTCAGACGTTGTGAAAGAACGTTTAGGAGGTTACGTTAGTTTTCCCTGTTCAACAACACATACAATAAAAAACCACAATCCACATGTTAATTCTAACTATCTGTGATTTACCAGATATTGTCTTTAGTTTCACAGAGAAAGTTCCTGATTTTCAGACAGGTTTTAAGGATTCAAGGAACTGTTCTTGTCATGCCAGCTCACACTGACATGTTTGTGGCACGTTTTGTAATTTAACAAAACAGAGAAAATGTGTAAAACAGCAAAATGTAACAAACCAATCAGTTACAGAAACACAACTCTGTCACTTAAAAGAAAAACCACTTCTTTCAAATGACAGTCTGGTGTTTCTGTCATTTTATTTATTTATTGTTTTTACACTTTACTGTTTGACAGATTGTCCCTGTTTAGTTAAACTACAGGTCATATATTCTAAAGAAATCACAAAAAAAAAGTCTAATTTACATGTAAACTGTGAAAAAACAGCCAAAAACAAAAAAACATCCACATCAAAACCTGTTTTTTTTTTTTGATAACCAGAGATTTTGTTCTTTTACAACGTTTAACCATAAAATTACATTTTTTAAATAAAAAAAATGTATAATCTTACAAATATTTGCTGTTATTTGAAAGAAAAGTTAAAATATTAAGGTTTTTAAAAAATGCTAAAAACTAATTTAAAAATTGAAGTTTTCATAGTTTTTTGTTGTTGTTTATTTTACAGATTTTTTCTGTTTTGATTAATTAAAGACATCTAGAAAAAAGTCTCATTTACAGGTAAAGTGTAAAATAAAAAAAGGGCCAAAACTAAACATGTTCGCATCTAAAACCTGTTTTTATTAAAGACATTTTTTTAACAGTTTTTAACCATAAAATTACATTTTTAAAACTTTTTCAAAAATAAGCAAAAAATTGTATAATTTTACAGATATTTGCTGTAATTTGTAAGAAAAGTTGCATATTAAGATTTTCTTTTTTAAATGGTAAAAAATAAAAATTTTGCTGTCATTTGTTTTGTGACAGATTTTTCCTGTTTTGATTAATTACAGATAATATCTAGAAAATCACAGAAAATAAACGTGTTCGCTTGTTTACTGTAAAAAAAAAAAAAAGCACAAATACCAGCCAAAACTGTCAATAATGTCCACATGGATTTTTAAAAAAATTTATAAATATTTGCCAGTATTTTTACAATTTGTAATTTTTTTGTACTGTTTTAAGATATTATTTTCCTGTTTTTTAGTTTTTCGTGTATTTAATATTAAAAACTATAGTATCCTGGTATCTTAGGGCAGTATTTAAAAAACAAAAAACAAAAAGAGGAATTAAATGTGTTATATTTCAGACCCATTTGTGAAGATTTACAGCTTTGCAAGAACCATTTTTTGACAGCAGCAGCTATTGTCACAGTTTTTAAACATTAGAATAATCCTCTGTTTCATATTTTATTGTGGCCACCTTGCAGACAGATTTTTAGGATCATATTTTTACAGTGTAGACCTGTAGTAGTGCCTGTTGGGCCTCTGTGTCCGGGCCGCCCGGCGTCTGGCCCGTAGAACCTCCTCCTGCTCTTTGACGCTCCTTCAGGCATTTCCTCCTGGGTGTGGCTCACCGGCGGAGTTCTCAGTGAGAAGTGTGACGACTACCGAGGCCTGTTTTGGTCGTCAGCGCCTGAAAAGCCAGTTTGCCGAAGCTATTTATTGTCTTCACACGTAATCAGTGGCGAACACTCGGCAGCGGACGCTTCCTCGGCTTCCTCCCGCTGCGGCCCAGCAGCTCCATTGTTGCGTCGCTCTTTGTGTTGCGGGACTCTGTTTGTGTTGCCGTAGCTGGACCACGGCGAGTCCCATGCTGGGAGAACGAGGCTCCGCTTCGGCGGTACAGGTCTGTAGAGAGAGAGAGACCAGTAAAACTGCAGGAAGATGGACTGATGGAGAGCTAAACAACAACAACAACAAGCCAGCGTTGTTTCCTGTTTGTCCGTTTACATGTGCAACAAAACAAAACAAAACAAAACAAAGCAGTCGGACTGTTTGTTGGACACAAAACCTCAACTTGTGTCAGACAGAGATGACGTTAGGGTTCATTTATGGCCGATTAATAATCTGTGGTGTTTGAGGCTCTATTATGGTTAGAAATATAACATAAAATGAAATCTAAGCACAGGGACGTTATTAGCAGGTCACAAGTTATTTATTTTTCTACCTGCAGAGCTCCAGAGTGGTCAAAATTCAATAATGGCACATTATGACAGGAATGATTATTTTATTTAATAATCAGCTCGTGATTCTTCTGAATAATAATAATAATAATAAT